AAGGGTAAAATCGACCCAAAATTTCACACAGTGATGTTCGTTAGGGGCGAAAGTCAAAAATGTCTTTTTACTCTTATTGATAAGCACCTGTTCTCAACAGCTTGCTTGGAGCATATTTTGGAGATCATTCACAGGTGTGATCAGAATTTTGCAGCTGACAAGAAGTTGTTTACTGATATGCTACGCTGGTACATCCAATTTCGGCAGACACTTCTTGTTATCATTCCTCGGCTATTCAAGGTTGTGAAGAAAGTGAAGGCTACACAACAGAAATAATCTCTCGCCTCATTTGACGCAAAGGGGGAGATTGTTGGGTTGAATAAGTGTTGCGTCATGGGCTCGGTCCTTAGCCCAGTTTTGCTATCAGGTTGGGCCTGTCCAACCGTGATTGTTTTGTTTAGGGTTTAGTATTTAAGGTGCATGCATGCAACCTTTAAGAGAGGGGCTTTGATAATTATTAACTGATTTTTTGTACTACAAACCCTAGCTCGCCTCTACAGTGGAAGTTCTTTGTCGAGCTCTGCTGAGGCGTGACTACATTTGAATCATTAAGCATCATTTGATTCTATATTGTGTTCTTTGTGTTTATTTGATTTTATTGTTTAACCTGTTGAAGATCTCATCGATCTAAGAGTTTTTCAACTCAACAAAAAATCATACAGAGGCGGGGGACGAAAGTGTGTCGAGTTTGGTTGCTATTCATAGCCAAGTGAGGAAGATAAAACGAGAGCTGGAGAAAACAAATCATCCGGTAGTAATCGAGCAGTCGGAGATGAGATTGGCACTGTCGCTCGCCTTTGGGGATTTCTGAAAGGCCTTGATCGACAACGATGGTGACGTGGGAAGAGGCAGCGGTCAGCTGGTGGCGGAGGGGATATCAAAGGGTTGTCATTGTGCAATCGGAGATGCAGTAAGAAGGAGGCGTTGGCGTTTGTGAAAGAAAGAGAAGAAGGAGAAGATGAAGTATCAGGGCAAAAGAGTAACACGCGTTCTTTTCTTTAATTCAGACACGTCCCTACATCTGAAAAATTAAGAGGCATCTAACAAATTAAAAGGTATAAATTTAGAAGCTACCAAACAGTCTAGATCTTAAAAATTAAGAGACCGACTCTTAATTTTCCAATTAAGAGGCAAACAAACAAGGCCTTAGTTGACATATTAATTAACATCTAGGAGACATTACTCAACATATAACCCCTTAAATGCAACATATTAGGGCTATAACTCTTTTGAATGATCTTCATCCGCTGAGAATGTAGATCAATTATCAATTAAGAAGTAAGGCCCGAAGAGCATACTGACATTCATTGCCATTATAGAGACAAGGTCACAAGGGGACTCTGACATACATAGACATGTATAAGACCATGTTGCACTTACATGAGATATAGTAACAAATATTTAACTAAGTTACTACGTTTGACAAAAGTTGAAGACTTCATAATATAGATGGGTGTGTGCACCAGTATCAGTTTCTCTTGTAAGTTTATACAACGTCACCATTTTGTTTATACATTTCTTTTATCCACTTGCAACTTGTTCTCTCTTTGCCAACAACTCATATTTGAAGAAATTTAGTGTGCTAGAATCCTCCAATCTCCGACTTATTCTCTCTGAATTCCTCGGTGATGTGTAGAAAAATATACCAACACATTTTTTTCTTAGGAAAATTTTGTTGGAACCCCCGACCCACATTTTTCTAGTAGTGCACTAACCACCTACGATGTCGATGCTTTTGGTCCACAATTGACAATTGACAGGGTTCATGTTAGGTAAACGTTGGATAATTTTAGTTTGTAATTAATTTAGTTTTTAATTTGTGTTCGATATTTGCTTACTGGCTGATACATGATTGGAACCATAACATATATATGTTTTAGCTTTGGGTTCTATCTTAGGTGCTGTTTGTTTTTTCTAAAAAACCACTTCTGACCATTTATTGCTACGCCGCGCAGCATACGCGCAACACTTGACCCTTTGCAACTGTTTGTTTTTCAGAAGACTTCTGACTTAAAAACTGTTGCGTGTGTGCTGCGTGGCGCAACACTTGACCCTCGACTTCAAACCTCTTCACACCTTACTTTAACTTATTACAACAGTCTGCAGAGGTTAAAAAACAAACAAACTTTTTATTACATGTTGCAGCCGTTTGGTCCCCCTCTTCAGCTACAGAGAGTTGCAGAGGTGGTTCGCAGACTTCAGACATTTTCGCTTTGAAAAAACAAACGGCACCTTACTCTTCTTTATTTGGAAACTAGACCGAGAACCTTTTAGTTTGCTGGTAGAGCTAAACGAGGCATAAAAAAAATTAAATATCCTCCTATCTTTTCGTCCTATTTATCTTCAACCCATATGAAATGTTGAAAATTGTTACATTTTGATAAAAGTAATAATATTTTAAAACATTTGTCATCTTTTCATATAGATAGGAAAATAATAGGAGGATATTTAATTTCTAAAAAAAAAAAATCAAATTTGTCTGAAAATTCATAAGCTATTCCAGATCACAAACCTAATATAATATTTCCACTTTAACAAGTTCTTGTAATTTACTGAACAAGATTCTGCCAGAAAGGTGGTCAAAACTATGTTCTTTCCGCTTCACATGCATCATATCCTAGGAATTAATGTACAAAAGAACCATATATGATGCAAGAAGGGACTTAGTGCAGCATTTGTTTTGGAAATGAGGAGTTATGCCGTTATTTATATATGTTTTATTCTTAGATCTTCAAATTAAACGAGACGGTTGCCGGAACCAAACATAGAATGACAAAGGATACAAACAAAAAAGTAGGAAAAATATTCTCCCCTAGCCTAGGAACCATAGGTGACAAACTGATCACCAGCTGCTCCACTAGGCATCGTACGTGTACCCAATATATTAGCACCTGCATGCATACGTATTTGTGATTCATCTCCAAATCTTTATCTTAATCACCACTAAAACACATGGAGTTGTCTAATGTAGTACATATTCTGCAAATTTTGCTGATGGGACTTGTGATTGCTACACCTGGTAAGCCTTTTTGCCAAAGAACATGTGGAAATGTTACCATACCTTACCCGTTTGGCACAGAAGAGGGCTGCTACATGGACCGGTCCTACTACATAGAATGTAACTCGACAACACAAATTCCCCGGTTACACCAGAGCTCCAGCTTGGTGTTTCCTTATGGAGTACCGATTAATCTACAAGTTTTAGAGATAAAAATAGAGGGCCAGCTTAGAGTTAGTCTCCCAATTGCGCATACTTGCTTCAACAGTAGCGGGAAGATAGTTTCTGGCGTTGTTGTATTAGTTCAAATGCCCAGGTTTCCCTTCTCAAGCACACTCAACTGGTTCACCGGAGTAGGCTGTGGCATTCGAGCCCGTCTTGAGCTTGCAGTCCCAGCTATGGACATGAATTGCCCAACAAAGTGTCCCGATTTTCTATATTTCCAAAACGGGACATGCTTAGGCCATGGATGCTGCCGAACCACCATTCCTCAAGGCATGACATATTCCTCATATTTTGCCATTGCCTCAATAGGCCACCAATTGGGGTATTTTAAGTGTGGTTATGCTTTCATTGTGGAGAAAGATAAGTATTACTTTGACAAAATTGATCTCCGCAATATGAGACGCAACTTGTCTTTCCCAGTGGTGCTTGACTGGTCTGTCGGGGTTACAAATTGTGAAGAAGCTAGAAAGAACAACGTAAATTACATGTGCCAAGAAAATAGTGTATGCTATGATCACGGGGAAGGTGGTCTGAATGGATATCGCTGCAAATGCTATGATGGATATGAGGGAAACCCATACATGGTCAATGGATGTAAAGGTTCTTAATTTGTACACTACATTTATATTACAAATTCAACGAGATTTTTAGTACATGGGTATCATCAGGTCCATCACAATCGTTTCATTTGATATTTTCTTTTAGATATCAATGAGTGTGCATCTGCGAAACTCAATGATTGTATGCGTGGACATTGTGAGAACACGAATGGGAGTTATACTTGTGTTTGCCCAAAGGGTTACCAAGGTAATGCCAAACTAGGTGGAAAGTGCATGTCTATCGAACAGAAAGAAAATAGGTCAGTTATTGAAGGTAATATATGATACAAAAAGTAATTTCTTTTTTGACCAAATTATTATGGGTTCAACTGCAGCTAAGCTAGATCTAATAGATGGTTAGGTTAGCATGGACTGATGTTAATTTAAAGCTCTGATGACGCAGGTATCAGTGAAGGTGTTGGAGGCGCAGCTGTAGCAATGATTTTTGCGTACTGGGGACTCAAGCAGAGGAAACTAATAAAGGTTAGAAAGGACTTCTTCAAGCAAAATGGTGGTATCATGTTACAGAAAACGTTATTTACATGTAAAGATCCTGTCAACCAAGCAAAAATTTTCACAGAAGCGGAGCTAAAGAAAGCAACAGACAACTTTAATGACACCAACATCATTGGCCAAGGGGGTTATGGAACTGTTTTTAAAGGAATCTTAGCAAACAAGACATTGATTGCCATCAAGAAGTCTAAAGTAATTGACCAAAGCCAAATCAAGCAGTTTGTAAATGAGGTGATCATCCTATCACAAATCAATCATCAAAACATTGTAAAACTCCTTGGATGTTGCCTAGAGACACCTGTTCCATTGCTTGTGTATGAATACATAACCAATAACACCTTAGGCTACCACATACATACACATGCTATGCTGACATTTGGAAAACGGCTAAAGATAGCTGCAGAAACTGCCGAAGCTCTTGCTTATATGCACTCAACCACCCAAATTATCCATAGAGATGTCAAGCCATCAAATATACTATTGAATGATGAGTTCACAGCCAAAGTTTCTGACTTTGGGATTTCAAGATTTGTCCCTCTTGGTGAAACTCATCTATCAACAATTGTAAAAGGAACAATAGGGTATATGGACCCTGAGTACTTTCGTACATGCAAATTAACTGAAAAGAGTGATGTTTATAGTTTTGGAGTTGTTCTCATTGAGCTACTTACCAGAACAAAGATTCATTCTCTAGAGATATCGCTAAGGTTTTATAAGGGTGCAGCAGCATATCTTGCATCACTAATGGAACGTGATGTTTTGGTTCAAGTTCTTGATGATCAATTACAGAGAGAAGAGTATGCTGAGGTGGTGAAATGTGTCGCTAAGATTGCAATTACCTGTCTTGACCTTGAAGGGAAAACAAGGCCTACGATGAAAGAAGTAAAACAAGAGCTCGAGAAACTAAGATGCGTTTTGTCATCAATCGAAGCTGAAAGCCTTTAGGCTGGACTACATCTTCTCTTCTTCCAGTTTTACACAAACCATCGGATGTGATTAATGATACTGAGATTAAGGTTATTACCAGGAATCAACATTGTAAATAATCGGTTTATTAAGCTATGTAATTTTTGTCCAAAAAGATTCGTCACCATTAACTAGATTTGAAAATCAAATATCTTGGCCCCAAAGTCTGATTATTTGATTTATAGGCTGTAGATTAGATCTAAATGTTATAAGAATATTACTTGGTCAAACTTGTGTAGAAACTGTTGAAAGATATAAGCTATACAGGGGTAAATTGGTAAATTGGTAAATAGTTATAGTGTTGGAAGAAAGAAAGACTTAAACAAGAAATTCTATGACAGAACAGGGAGAACAGGAAAAAACTCAAGAACAAATTGCTGTGAAGAGATCTCTTATTCAATATTCTGCCCACATTTGATTGAGTACACAGCCATATAAATACCAAAAAAAAGAAACTGTCAAAGCTAGAAATAAGCAAATGCTAATACTAATTTATGGGTAATCATGTACCACTTATTTGAAACAAAGTAACAACTAACAAAAACAAAACTGAAATCTTAAATGCTAAGTAGTGGGACAGAAGCTACTGGAAGTTTTGAGCACCATT